TCATATGGTTTTGAAGAAATAGTTTTAAATTTATTTAATACGACTATAGAACAAATATTGTGAAAATATACAAAAATTAAAAGATTTACCATAAGATCATAAATCACAAAAAATACCTCTCTTATTCGGATTATGGATTTTATAAAGAGTTTAAACTTATTTCATTACTGCTCTTGCTAATAAATAAAGGGGATATATTGAATTAAGAGTTTTAGAAGAGTTTCATAGCTAAAACTTTTAGCTAAAAAACATATATCAATACTATTAAAACAGGATCCCTTTTATGAATTTACTTTAGGTTTTCTTGGCATATTACTTTTTGTGCCATCAGATTTGCTTTAAGAACTAAAATTTTAAGAGGGTAGTTTAGGAAATGAAAAAAGGACCACCAAACTATCCTAAAATCTCTCATCATATAAATATATTGTACCTTTAATTTTCAAAATTAATTCTATTCTAATCCTTTAAACAAATATTTACGTAATCCTTTTTTTTTACCTTATAATTATGTCAACCTTATTCCAGAAGAAATAAGATTAATGTCAACATTATTCTAAATGACATAAAAGTTGTGGAAGTCATCGGTCATATTAACTATATACGTTAACACATATTTTTAAAAAAATGTATTTATCTTTCTTATTAAAGAATCTTATTCCATAAGATCTGACATGCAAACCAATATGGTACATGGTTTAGAGTTTCATTTATGTGATTAGTCGTTTGTACACAAATATACATAGATTACAGAACACCTTTCTCAGTTTATATGTGTTAGGTATGATAAGGTGTTCATACATGTGATAAACAACATAGACGAAGCGTAGTTTACATTAACTTGCCAACATGTTAGAGTGATGGTCACTTTCCTAATAATGCAATTGGTAGTATACCAACAATATATAGAAAAACGTGGAGTAGTGGAACTCCTCTAATAATTAAGAACTAGATCATAACCCGCCCGACTGGGCGGGTCTTTATTTTTATGGTATATATGAACATTTCAAAAAGTACAATTTAATGGTTCCAATTTTACTAAGTAATAGTATACTGTTTAAATATTGTATTTCATCATTGTATTGTGTAACAGGGGCGTCGGTATAATATTGTGACTCGTTAATATTTTAGTAATAGTTTATAAGCTTTTTTTTTGCTAAATTTGGTACAAAGTTATATACACGAAACAATTTAGTCAAATTTTTAAGTTAATTTTCAATGAAGAATTAGAAAGCAAGTATATCACTGTTAAAAACTTATAATAATAGTGAATATAAATTATATAAATAAAATATATATTATTTTTGATTTATTCTAAATAAATTTAAAACACGAGTATATATATGTAAAAGTAATTTTCAGAAATAAAGTAATATTAATGATAGAAAACCCAAAATCAATAATAATGATACTTTGGGCCACATTAATCTTTAGTTTAATAAATAAAGCCCATTAGCTTTGTAGGCTATCATTGTTTTCAATCACTATAATTTTAAATATTTCATATTCATGTTTCCAAACACTTAACTTTTTGTACTTCAGCTTTAATAGTATAGATATAATTTAAAATGGAATTCTATTAAACTCTATCAACAATATACTATTCTAAAATGAAAATATTTTTTATATTCGTCTTTCATATTAACCGACAGTAATAAGTATTCATGTTTTAATTCTAACCAAACAAACACGTATGAATACCTATATTACTCTATTACACATATAACTACCATTGGACCTATTCAGTATGCATACTTTGTAATATATTGGAAACAATAATATTGATACTTTACTTTCATAAATATTATTTTCACTATAAAAGTAAATGGGAATGAACTATGGTCATTAGTTTGATTACTTTTAAAACACTATCTAAACCGGACTACTAGGTTATTAGATTAATCATGGATGAACTACGATCAATAGTTTACTTAATTATAGTATATAATTATAAGAAAATTAAATACTAAAAACATGTTTAAAAATATAATAAAGTTTTAAAGTCAGTTTTATTTATAGTTTCCATTTCACATAACAATATTATTTAAAATTATTTCATAACAAGTTGGAATTACACATATAAGAAAACTAATAAAATAATATTAAAATTAAGAATTATTTTTAAAATATCTAATTCAAACATTGACTCAAATTTTTATTCAAAAATAAAAAAAATTAACAAAATTGTATTACATGTCCTTCACCCATTGGTTCAACATACAACCTCTGATTTTATCGTTTTACAGGTTTTATCAAGTTTTTATTTAATGGGTATTTTATAAAAATCCAAACTGGATTAGACTTCGAGTCAACGGGTTTATTGGTTCGATCGCGGATCCGAATTGGTTTTAAATTTGGGATTTTATTATAAAAATATTTTAAATAGAAAAAATTCTTAAAACACAACAAAAAATTAAAATTCTTAATGGAATTTTACATCATAAATTATTTCCTAAAATATCTCACGCTTTCTTCCTATAGGTTAGTTAAATAAGCAATTACCTTTTTGTTAACAATTATAACTGTTATAATTGGATAACTACTGAGAAAATATAATATGTTGTCAAATTTAGAAACAAAATTTGGAAATAATGTCTGAAATGCATATGCCACAATTGCATAGTTATGTAACTGGACATATTTAATATAGGTACCAAAAATTATATTTAATTAAATTAATATTAAACACAAATATAATTACCAAAAACACAAATATAAAAATTAAATTTCTCCAAAAAGCTTAAAACAAAACATATTCCCGCCCTTTGAAAGGGCGGGTCACTATCTAATACTCATTTTTTTATCTACTGATACAAGTTGTCATTTAAATTTTGACCCTTTCTAGAGTGTTACAAATAATACAAGCCATATAGTTGACTGAACCGTATTACTTAAATTAAACTGGTGGTTATTTATGGGATATAGTCTTGGGATTACTTTTGTTTTTAGAACAAATTATATAGTTTGGTTTTTGGGCTTAGTATTAAGGAAAAACTCCAAAAAAAAACATTGAATAAACTTTTCACCTTAATGGATCAAAAATCAATTATTATTTTCAAACCCAAAAGGTATTTAATATTTTTGACAAAACATAATTATCTATTATTAATTTAAATCATGTACTTTAAAACATGTTAATGTATTTTTTATTTTAAATAACAATCATTATTTTTATGATAAATTTCAATGGTAACTTTTAAATAATTTATTATTTTATTTTTCTTAAATAATTTACAGATTTAAAAAAAATGTAAAGTAAAACCAGAAACCAAATCCAAAAACTAAAATCCATAACCAAAAGCTGAAAACACAGATTATATTTTTTTTGTTTTTGTTTATTTACAAAATAAATTATTGCAATTTTTTAAAAAAAAATTATTTGTCATCTTTTCAGTTTTAAATTAGATGTTCGATTAATTGAGATTTGTTTGTTGGTAATATCATTTCAAACTAACTCAGCGCGTCTAAAAATTAAAAACCCAAACCAAAAGCTGAAAAATCAAAAATAGAAACTTAAAAACTAAAAACCAAAAAAACAAAATCTAAATATAAAAACTGAAACTAAAATTAATGAAAAACAATCATCACCACATATTTTGGTGAACTGGTTTTCTACCAAAATATTTTTTAAATTAAGACAAAACTCAATTCTATAAATTATTAATCATAAAAAATTTTCGCGGGTCAAAATCTAGTTTTATATTAGGCTAAAAACTTCCATCCTAGAAGATCTGCATTAATCATCGAACACCAAACAATAAAAGGTACCAATGAGCATATTACTTAAATTTCTCGAAGAATTTTTAATTTTGGGCTGGGCCTAATATATATCAGCCCACTATAGATTGTGTTAAAAAAAAAAAAAAAGATACGGACGCGTGGTAATCCGGGAAAGAAACATCCAATGGCTGCTGCTGCTGCGTGGTCTACCTCTACCGCCATAACCGCCGCGTCACTCGGAGGAGCTTCCTACCTAATCCCTTCGCGAAGCGCATTCCTGAGACTATCTCCACTCTCGCAATCGAAAACACTGAACCTCAGTCATATACAGCGGAGAAGAGCCAATGCTCTGTCGCCGAGGCGCGTCGTGGTACGCGCCGCCAGAATTGAGTCAGGCGGAGTAAAGTTAGGAGCCAGGGCTCCGGAATTCGAGCTTACGGAGCCGCTAACTGGGAATGTATGGAGATTAGATGATTTCGAGCTGTATCCATGTCTACTGGTGCGAGTTTATATTCTTCTTATTATTAGCGTTTGTAGTTTGTATTTAGAGTTTTTAAACCTTTTGTGATTTGTGTTAATTTTGTAGGTTATGTTTATCTGTAACCATTGCCCGTTTGTGATTCACTTGAAGAAAGACATTGTTAAGCTCTCTAACTTCTATATGGAGGTGCCAAACATTTGCTTCTTCTTTTATAAGCTATGTTTTTTTTTTTACTAGATAGTAACTTTTTTTTTTTTTTGCAGAAAGGTCTTGCTGTTGTTGCAATATCTTCAAACTCTGTAGTAACACATCCTCAGGTTTGTGTTTTTAGTGTGACTCCTCTTTCTAGTGTCAAATGTCAATGCTTGTTGTTGTTGTTGTTGGGATGAGGTTTATATAAGATTGTTTTATTTTACTTTGGCAGGATGGGCCAGAGTTCATGGCAGAGGATGCAAAGAAGTTCAAGTATCCATTTCCTTATTTATATGATGAAGTAAGTTTTATTTGTATAATGCTTATTTGTTCTTGTCCAGCATTGTTTTTGTTTGTTGATTGTACTCATGTTTTGATATTTTTCTTTCTTACATCAGTCCCAAGAGGTTGCAAAGGAGTTTGGAGCTGTCTGTACCCCTGAGTTTTTCTTATATAAGAAGGTAACCTCGTTGGAAGTAGCCATGTCACAATCTCCCTTTAGCTCAAACAGTAGATTCTTCATATGAAAACTGTTACTTGTTTATTAACTCTATCCCATTCCTGTATAATGGATCAGGATGGTCGTAGGCCATTTGAACTGGTTTATCATGGACAGTTTGATGATTCTCGGCCTAGCAACAACACACCAGTAACTGGGAGGTGCGTTATCCTTAAGTTACAATATTACAGAGAAGTGTTTTTATAAAGTAAAAATCTTAACATGTTGTTATCTGCACAGGGATCTACGTCTCGCAATTGATCTTACCCTTAGCTGTCAACCAATACCAACGAATCAAAAGCCAAGGTACACTCATATCCCCATACACTTTGCCTTTTGATCCTTTAGTCTTTGATAACCAACTGAGACACCCTGCATTTGGTTTTTTCTTAAAGTGTTGGTTGCAGCATAAAGTGGCATCCAGGAACATAATCGTGAGCTAAGACATTGACTCTGCTCTATCACAATTTATGTTCCATAGACTCAGGTCTGTAGTATGTCACAACCACTACTAAACTTTGTTTCGTCTCCACCATAACAAGAAGTAGAACTCTTAAGATTTAGTTTTAACATTTACAGGTTTGTTCCAAAATCAAAACTGAAAGGAGAGAAGGCAAGGCAGAAGAACTTTGTAAGCATGTCCGTCCAAATAACGTATGTAGTGTAAGTTGTATTCATTATTCAAGAAAAATATACAGTACTCTACTACTCCACGGATCCTATCTCGTGGGAGCGTTCATGTGTGATATAAATTCATGAACAGTATAAGAATGAATATTTAATGTAAATAGTACGTCTTCTGTATTTAAGAAAGTAAAGTATATGTGATTAAAAGGAATGGAGCGATTGATCGTCCTGGTCAAATCCCGAACGTTGTAAGATCTGTTGAACTCCAGTGATCACTATTGATCATGAAGCTTCCCTGAGAAATCAACTGGTCTGGCTCCTCTGAGAATGAGCAATCCAGGATCTCTTGAATCTCTTTGTCATCGAGTAAACCTTTAAACTCGAAGATCTCTTCTTGATCTTCTTGGAGAAACTGACCAAAAGCTCGATGATCTTCCTGGATCTTCTCGGTTAGATTATTAAATTCTCCATAGAATCCAAGATTCACATCAGTTTCTTGGCAGATATCCCAGCTCAAGGAATCCAAAGCGTGAGTGGTTGTTGTCACCGGTGAATCTTGATCAGATCCGGTGGTATTATCTGTACTTGAAGGGCTCCCATTAGTCACGTACTGAGCGAAAACCGCAGCCAAATCTATGTTAGAACCAGCAGGGCTTGAGTGAGACTCATCATCTTGGTTGATAAGACCATCTGGTCGATTCTCGTTCCGACCAAACCTTTTGTGACTGTTGTGTCTGCTCCTGCTTCTCTTTCGAATGCCTCCACCGACGGGAATGTTGCGGAGAGAGCCGCCTTTGGTCCAGTAACGACGGCAACCTTTGCAGAAGTACCTAGGCTGAGACAAGCTGTAGTTGTTGTAATAACAAAACTTGGTGTTGGAAGATGCACAACGAGGACAAGGTGGAGCAGTCTCATCGTGTCCGTAGGGAACCTTCCACTTCGCCGGAATTTCAATGTCCGGCGATGGGAACTGGTGCTGGTAGCTGTTGTGTGCGTGGTAAGGCAACATCATTCATGTAAATTCAAAGCTTGGAGGAAACTAGCAAGTGGGTACTTGGTGTGTATTCGAGTTCATGATAACTATATATAATAGTATGAGCAGACGTGTTTGCAGAGGTGAAGAAGAGCATGTGTGTGTGGGAGTAGAGGTGCATCGATAAATGTGTGAAGGGTTAAGAAGTAAACGTGGGCGGTTGCCGAGCCGTGCGTCTCCTTTTCCGTTTCTTCTCCGTCAAGTCACCTTCGATTTTGGCTCTTATTAGGTTTACTAATGAATGTTTATTATTCAATATGTTTTGGTAAACGATTGGCTTAGTGTCTGTCAAAAAAAATAAAAAAAAATTAATTGATTCGACCTGAAATATGTTTTCATACTACCTATCTACAAAATCAAAATTAAACTGTAACTAGCTCTATCTTACAAAAGTTAGATGAGTTTTTTTTTTTTTTTGATCAAAAATTAGATGAGTTTTCATATTAGATTTATAACTCCTTATAACTAACGTTCTGGTATTTCAATCCATTTAATAGTATCATTCAATGCAATCATTTTATTCAACTTTCTATCACGAGATATAAGGCTTAGGCTTATACGTATTATCTATGAATCATTATATTATAATAATACTAGGGCAATCATATTATATAAGTGTGAACGTAGATGATGGTCACTTACGTTTTGCGCATCTGCATCTTGTCATCGTGGAGCGCAAGAGAGCCATAAATTCTCATTAAACAAAACATCGTATCACTTGCACTCTCTTGATCTCTTGTACACCTTATGATTTCAACACTTCAAAGAGTCGGTACATGCATTATATAGTATAATATATTCTTATCACTGGTCCATTTGCTAAGTAATACTACTTCTGGCCAAAACAAATTAGTTATCATCGTTTTATAGCTTTTTCAATATGATTCTCGTATTGTTTCTAAGGTAAAATACAATGTACTTACCTAGCATCTTGTCTGATAGCTTTGTGTTCCTGTTAAAATCTAGTGAGCCATAGGATTAGAAGTAACCTTTTCCTTCGTTATATCATTATGTTCATGGCTAATTTTTAATTTATCTGTTAAATCAAAGTACATTGTACGTACCTAGATAAGTGACCCTTAAGAGCATCGATTATATAAACCATTAGGTAGTAAGATAGATTAACGCCAAGATTAAGGGCCACATGCACGGGAGAACACGTGATTCTACCAACGTGTCGACATAACCATCCCTTATTTCTCTCAATATCTTTGCATCTACGAAGTTGAATTCTCTTTCTTTCTATTTCTATTCTCCCGAAATTGAATTCTTGTTATATTGTTACCTTTTGTATTTTATCACTATTAGTACAACAGTCGATTATTCTACTATATTGATAGGCATATCTTATTGTGAAAGATAATGTTTGATTGGGCAGCCTTAAAACTAGATCTATGGTAAGCTCCGATCCCGATATTAATTTGGCTTTAAGATACATTTATTAAGTAGTGAAATGATTAAACTTCAATAATAGGAAGTCAACCCTTAATTCTTTTCGGGATTGCATTTATTCATCCCAGCTGTATTCTTATATCATCTTTGACTAGAAAATGATTTGACTTTAATTTATATGGTGTAAATATGTTCTTTTTATGTAACAAGACATGTATCTTTTCTTAAAATAAACAAGCTTAAATTTCAGCTCAAGCGTTGACATATGCATTTGTTATTAGTTGAAAGCCATATACCACACAAATTTTCTGTTTATACTCGACCCAAAGGCCCATAACTAGAACGCTGAAACGGCCCAAACCATTGCTTAACCCGATAAATTGAGAGATTGGTTGAACCGGGATCTGATTAGGCTGGGATTGAGAGAATGCAATGTAGAGAGAGCCTAAACCCTGGAGATCCATGTTCGAAAACATGGACGAATTGCACGTTTAAACGTGACTGGGCTATGAACGGAGGCGACTTAAACCTATCGGCTCAAAAACTCGAATTTTCGGGGAAAAAAATCTTTTTTTTTTTTTTGCAAGTTTCGGGTTTAGTATCATATATCTTGTTGAAGGATTAGTTCTAACAAAACTTATTTAGTTTGGGCTTTTGAGTCCTTGTTTATTGGCCCTACCTTATTTACTCGTTGGCTGACTAAATCGTTGAACCATTAGTGAGCACCATCTTTGAGCGAGACACATTCCTATTGCAGAAACGATATATTTAATGTTTCCCTTATATCTTTCTTATTCTTACCAAAACCAACAAAAAACATTACTATAAGCTACAAGATTACTCAAATCTAAATATAGCATCGATTTAGTCCAAAAAAGTTTCACAGTATTCTGTTGTTTTAAACGAAATTACCGCAGATTCTACATCCCAAAAAAGTGGAACAATATTTGAATACTGAGATTTAGTCGTAACAGTAATTCAAAAAACTTGACAAAAAAAGGAAAATACATTAATGAGCTAATTCAAAAAGGAAATAACTTTCACAAACGAACCTTGTACTCCAAAGAAAATCACTAGACAGACCAATAGAAATTATGATTTTGCATCAAACACCCAACTCTTTTAGGATATATACATAAAATTTAACGACAAAAATTGTACTTTAATTTGCTTATATATAGTCATTATTGTCCCAAGTCTTTTGGAAAAACAAGCGAGAAAACAAATCGTAATTCTTCTACTTTTTACTTCTCCAACACACCTCTTTCTAGAGGCCTATTCGTAAGATCAGTGTTCTTGAGTTTTAAAGATCGATATTTGTTCAATCTTTTAACAATGTCGCAGTCAAAAACAAGTGGAAGAAGCTTTGGATTCATTAGAACGTTTATGCGGCTGGTTATGTGCTTCAACGCGGCACCTGAAGGCGATGGGAAGGAAAGATCTAAGAAACTGTCACGGAGGAGCAGCTTGGTTCACTCTATAAAATCATCTCCGTCTAACGTTTTCGTTAGTGGTCCGACAGTAGACGAGGACAGGGATGAGAAGATCAAAGATGTTATACTCTATTGTAAGATGAATTCTCCACTTAATGTTCCCTGAATTTTACTTACTGACTAAATATTTATTTAGATTTTGTAAATAAGAAGTATTATTAGTTCCATTTTTTTTATTTAAATCCCAGCCAAATTAAACGCTTTTTAGTTTAAATGATATTTTTCTGTTTGGGTTTGTATTTTTCTTTTTCAACTTGAACACTGAAGAAAATAACAATCACAGTACACATGAAATAGCTTTGATCTAAAGAGTTCTTTCTAGTTAAGGAAAATTGAAATATCTATAATGCTAGGACCGGTTCATACTCTCTAGAACCAAGATTATTCCAACTATCTGATATCCTATAGTATTAGCAAGAGTGTATAATATTATTATCTATTGTTTATACTATATAATATTTAGGTGATCCGCGTAAGAGCTTTAAGGTTATACGCGTTTACTCGTATCTGAAGCTAATTGTTATAACAAACATAACATGTTGATAACCGTTGTTCAGAGAAAAAGCTATAAGTATATATGTACGAGTTTATAAAAATATTTAAACATAAAACAGGAAATTTTGAAGAATTCATGAAGACTAGCAACTCCAATCCCTTTCAAGCAATAAGTAATTATAGATTGACCTTGTTATTTGGAGATTTGAGTTTGACCTAAAATAGACTCAAAACCAAACACAAAGGACTTTTCTCTTCTGTTTCTTCTGTTTTCGCGTCACTACAAGAAACAGCGATATTCCAAGGACCAATTTCCTCGGAATATCGTCGGAATAGACGTATTCCGACGACATTCCGAGGAAATTGGTCGTCGAAATTATTTCGTCGGAAAAAAATATTTCCTCGGAATTTCGTCAGACACACCGACGAAATTCCGACGACTTCCGATACCATGTAAGATGAGTAAACTCCGTGTCTCGTATCATTATATGTCAAGAGTATATATATGATACAAGGGAAGGTTCTAGAGAATATCTAGAGAATATCTAGTGTATCTACAAGATACGTAATATCTAAACTGTATATATTCTAACAAGACCAACATTCCGACGAAATTCCGAGAGAAGACGTTCCATCGGACAATCCCTACGGATACTTCGTCGGACATAATCGTCGGAATATTCCGAGGGATGTTCTTCCTCGGAAATTCCTATTTAAAAAAAAAACAATAAAATAAATAATAATTAATTATTTTTAATAAATATTTGTATAATAATTATTTGAAAATATAAAACTAAAATTGAAATAAAAAAACATCTTATAATATTTTAAGTTTTAAAAGTAGAAATACAAAGTTTTAAAAAACAAATAAAAACCGACTAAAACTCATGCGGGAACAGACGTCGCATCATATCCAACAACTCCTGGTTCTTCTTCTTCGTTTCCTCCACTTCTTGTTGCTGATCTGCCATCCTAGCAAGTATGGTCTCGTTCTGGGTAAGAATTGTGGCATTCTGGTTCTCCAATGCTACGATGCGGTCATCCTTGTTTTGTAGCTGCTCCATAATTGCCGGATCAACAAAAGCCGGTTCTGAAGTAGAAGGAACAGACTTGGAGCGACGAGCCAACCCGAACAAACGGCCTTTCTTCTTAGNGTCGTCGTCAGACTGAAGCTGAGAGAGGCGTTGGATCTCTTCCTCCTTCTGGGTTTCGACCAAGTCGATCACCTCCCTCACAACGGCATCCGAAATCTCTCCGGTCGACTTGTCGGTATACGCCTCCCTCATTAACACGAGGGAGTCAACCGGCTCACCGTCATTCTGTTCCGCCTGGAAAAAAAAAACATTTGTTAATAAAAAGCATTAAAAATTGAAATTAAAATTTTAAAAATTTAAATTAAAATTTAAAAAACGAAATAGGTAAAGAAAATCAGTCGACTTACTAGCTTATCCCCAAGAGTTGACATACTGCAAGCACCCAAATTGTTCTTGTACCGACCCTTCCCGCCACGGTCGCTGTTGCGGTTGCTGGAATTGGTGTCAGAGGTTCCTTGCGTCTCTGTCTTCCCCCAATGCTCTTGCAACTCGAGCCACACCGTGTCGTTGATCAATTTCGGTTTTTTGCCCTTCTTCCACTTTTGCTTCCACTCATAAACCTGCTTCCCATAATTCTCCATGACTTTATGGGTGAAGGCATTTTCGATAAAGGTCGTATGGAGGGGATTCCAGTTGAACTCTTGCTGAAAAAAAACCACAATTAGTAGAAATTTAAGTCAAAGATTTACAAAAAAAAAAAATTTAAAAATTGTAAAATACATACCGCAAACTGACGGAACCACATCTCTTGATCCTCTCGGGGGAAGGAGGTGTAGGTAGGATAACCCTTTTTGAGCGCCGAGTTCATCATCTGGTTGATGAAGGAACTTATCCCGTTCTGCGATCGATCAAACCTGAAAAGAAAAAATTAAGAATCAAGCAACAAACATATAATGAAAAAAAGACAAAAATTTTACAAAAAATATTACCATGTTTGGTGTGATCCCAATGGATGCGGAGTGAGAGTGAGAAGATGCTCTCGACCAGGCTGTTGAACCAATTGTTCAACAGTCATGATACTCGGAATGACCGGAGGAGCTGGAGCTGGAAAATCCCCGACATATTGGTTCTGCGAAGATGCAGAACCACGAGAGGTGCCCGTCGAACCACCACGAGAACCACCCCGAGAAACACCTCGACCTCGTGGTGTGTGGCGAGATCTTGCCTGGTTATCGCTATCCGACCTGCAAAAGTTTAAAATAGTTTAATATATCTAAAAATTGTAAAACTAAATATCAAAATCTTTTATAAATCTAGAAAAGTTTTAATAATTAACTAAATAGTTTTAATAAATCCACAAAAATAGTTTTTATAATTACAAAAATAATTTTTATAAATCCAAAAATAGTTTTAATAAATCAAAAACAGTTTTAATAAATACAGAGATAGTTTTAATAAATAAAAAACAGTTTTAATAAATAAAAAATAGTTTTTATAAATACAACAACAGTTTTAATAAATACAAAAATAATTTTTATAAATCCAAAAATAATTTTAATAAATCAAAAAGCAGTTTTAATAAATACAAAACAGTTTTTATAAATACAAAACAGTTTTTATAAATACAAAACAGTTTTAATAAATACAAAAAATAATTTTTATAAATTCGAAAATAATTTTAATAAATCAAAAAACAGTTTTAATAAATACAAAACAGTTTTAATAAATAAAAAACAGCTTTTATAAATACAAAAACAGTTTTAATAAATACAAAAATAATTTTTATAAATCCAAAAATAATTTTAATAAATCAAAAAACAGTTTTAATAAATACAAAACAGTTTTAATAAATCCGAAAATAGGTTTGCTACATATAAAAATCTTTTATAAATCCAAAAATAAAATAAAAACTTTAGAAAAATTTACAAATCAATTCAATATATCAAATTATCCTAACAATATCATAATCCTAACCTATCAAACTCGTAATCTACCCATAACCCTAACTCATAATCTATCAACACACATTCAAATCACCAAATCTATTACAAAACCTAATCAAAATGAACCTAAGTCAAGGGGAAAGAAATCTTACATCTTTGAGGACGAATCTGACTCGATTTTAGGGAGAAATCGCCGGAGAATATCGAGAGGGAGGAGAGAGAGCGACGGCAACGGTTTGGAGAAAGAGAAGAGAAATGGGGAAGAAGAAACCGTGATTAATATTTATCAGAACATTCCGACGGAAAGGTTCCTCGGAATTCCGTCGGAAATCACTTAATTCGATTTTCGCGAAAATTTTGGCGGTTCAATTTCCCGGTTAATGAAAATATTCCGAGAAAATTCCGACGGAAACTTTAAAATCCGTCGGAATTTCCTCGGAATAGAGTTTCAAGACAATAATATTCTCTGCATGTCTTTTAATTGGTCGGATAGGATCCGTCGGAATTTCCTCGGAATTTTATTTTTTGTGGTTTCAAAACCTTGATTTTTAAGACCCTAAATAATTTCTTGCACAATTTTTATCTTGTTCAAAACATAGCATTCCTGATTTTTTCCATTGATGTGCATAAAAAATGAAATTACAAAATTTCAAAATCGATTACTAGTATTACCGTTCTCGTTGGTTAAAGTGTTAAGTGTTTCTCTAACGTTGTATGAAGATCGGTATACAATCGAGAAAAAGTTCATTAATGCGATCCAAACAAATATTTGGATTCATAATCAGTTTAATACAGTTAATAATATTTATTTAGGTCCTATTCTTATATTTTAACACCGTAATAAGATGTTTTCGATACAAAAATCTCAAATCCGTCGGTATTTCCTCGGAATATTCCGAGGAAATTTTGAGGGAATGGGGCAGTTCCTCGGAATGTCATCGGAATATTCCGAGGAAATACCGAGGGTTGGACCCCAAATTCTATACCCTAAACTTATACACAATTTCCGACGAATTTCCGAGGAAACCCTAATGTTTCCTCGGAATTTCCTCGGAAATTGTGTTTTTTAAAAAAAAAAAAAAAACCTAAACTACTCTTCTTCAGACGATGAATCATCTCCAGATGAACTCGAATCTGTATCTTGGTGAAACTCTCCAATGACAGGTTCATCCCCTTGGTGAACAATAGCTTCGTCTCCAAAGTCGGTTAAATCAACTACAAGATCAACATTTGCTAAATCTTCTAAGGCACTTAAGTTGCCGGATGTGCTTGGTTGTAGGGGGTGTTGATCAGAACTTCCCTGAACTCGACCTCTCGGGTTGAGTGATGTAAGAGTGACCCATGGATCATCCCTGTTTCTAACCCGAGGATACTTGATGTAACAAACCTGTAACGTAAATTTTTTTTTTAAAATTTTAAATTAGTAATAATAATATACATATGGATGAATCATTATGATTAAATTGACATATATATATATATATATTTACCTGATCAGCTTGAGAAGCAAGAATGAAAGGATCATAATATTGTAGCTTTCTTCGCGAATGTACTGATGTAACACCAAATGCATCTGTTCTAATTCCTCGATCTGCAGTGTTGTCGTACCAATCACAATAGAAAACGGTACACCG